GATTGCATTTGAACCAACATACCACCACCACCTACAAAACTCATCTTAAAAAGAGCAAACCGACCAAAAAAGATTATACATACATATTTATAAATTCAAAAAAAAATAGTAGATGGATCGGAGGAACATTTTTGTAAATTTAGAGATGCAGAGACGTATCAACGTCGTCGTATCGATCAAACCCACCCATCATGATCTTGTCTTCTTTATTTGGCCATTGATGACAAAAGCTTGGCTTCTCAATGGAAGCAGAGGTGGATTGAGGGCATAAGGAGAGGGAGAGGAGCTGCTGTGACGAGGATGTTTGAGAGTTTAGAGGTAGAAACTGAAAGAAACCAAAACTCGCGGGTTCATTGTAATATTGTAAGATGTTGTCTTGGTGATGAGGTTTAGGGTTGAGGAGCTCTCGCTCAGCTCTTAAATCTCGAGCTCTCTGAAGTTGTCTGAATCTTTCTTGAAGCAAGACGATTGAAGACTGGATTACCATTTGCTCCTTCCGGTCTCTTGCCATTGAACTCATGACGTACAAAGTAAAGTAAAACTATTGATGTTTTAATGATATGATTCGTGGAGAGTGTTGCTAGGGTTTGGGGCCATGTTACGTGTGTTGTGTCTATTTATATACGGAGGAAAAAGGTCGATATATTTCTCATTATTTAATCTGCATGAGAATATTATAAAAAGAATAAAATTATATAGGGTTGTTGAGTAGTTCGATGAAATTCCGAAAGGAAGAGAATCAGGAGGAAAGTAGGAAGAGAACAAGAGCAACAAGGCAAAAGGGATAATCTAAGGATTGCAAAAAGAGAATGTATTATGTGTGAGTGGAGATTTGCATATTTGAATTATGTTTTTTTTTTTTTAAGTAACGAAAACAAAAAAAGTTGGCCAAAGTAGAAAATGGTTGGGAGGAAAATGACAAGAAGAATGTTTGAAGGGAAGCACATGGATTGGTTTTGTTTGGACGATTATTGATATATAGACCCTCTTTTTTCATGCTCCCCACTTACCTCCTCCTTTGGGCTCATTTTCTTTTAATGGAAACTTATTACTAATTTCCCACAA